GAGTTCGAGGCCAGCCTGGGCTACCAAGTGAGTTCCAGGAAAGGCGCAAAGCTACACAGAGAAACCCTGTCTCGAAAAACAAAAACAAAACAAAACAAAACAAAAAAAAGCTGAATGGCCAATAGCTAGGCAGAAGAGGGAAGAGGGATAGGCAGGGCTGGCAGGCAATAAATAGGAAGAGGAGTCTAGGCTCAAAGAAGAAAAAAGAAAACTAGGGAGAAAGAGAGGAGGGACACCAGTCAGCCAGACATGAGAAGCATGAAAGTAAGATATACAGAAGGAAAGAAAAGTAAAAAGTCCGGAGGAAAAACATACATGAAGAGAAATGGGTCAAGTTATTAGAGCTAGCAAGAAACAAGCCTAAGCTAAGGCTGAGCATTCATAACTAATAAGAACTCTCTGTGTCATGATTTGGGAGCTGGTTGGTGGCCCAAAAGAAAAAGTCTGCTATTCCCATATGCTTGGACATGTTTCTTTTCTTTCCTTTTCTTTTCTTTTCTTTTTCCCCCTGTTTTTAAGCGAGTGCAGTTGAAGAATTAGGGCATTCACCTTCATCTGGGTTTCTGGTAATGAACTAGAGAAATTGTTCCTGAAAGTCTAGCCTTTTCATCTGGGTTTTCTGGAGAGCGTAATTTCAAAATAGTTCTCTCTGAATTAAAGAGCAAGTCACTTAATTTAAAGACAAGCAAGGGCTGGCAGGACGGCTCAATGGTAAAGGCCTGCTGACAGGATCCACAGAAAGGTGGAAACAGAACAAACTGCAGAGCTGCCCTGTGACCTTCACATACACCCTGTGGTGAGTGCATCCTATGCACACACAATAACAATAAATAAAACACACACCTACCATGAAAGGTCTCGTGATGCCACACTGCCATTTTCTGTGACTGCCTTTGTGCAGAAGACAAAACAGTGATCAATGTCTTGAATTGGAAGTCAGCATAAAACAAAACAGATAAGGCGTCTCAAATGTCTGGGTTTCATTCCCACTTGCCCTTGAGCTAGTCTGGCTCATTCTATTAGCCTTGACTGTGTGTGATGTAACTAGTTTTTAAACAATCTAAGTCTGTTTTGCCACCCATAAAATAGAGACATACCAAGGCCTACTTACACCTATGAGACATCCCGAGACTCAAAATGCATGCAAACCTTGACATTCAGTCAACCATAAACTACCATTTTGGAGCTCTGCTGGGAGCCAGAGTAGAATGAACAATACAAGTACAAGGCATCTTTCTGCTGCAGGGCAAACCAACAATATAGTTTAAAAATTCAATGCAGAGGATGGTTTCCCAAGTGTATTTGAGCTCAGAACTTTTACTTTCTATTATATGTACTGATAGCCAAATTGCACGGTAAAGTTGCATGTACCTGTACTTCAGGAAATACAGTGTTATGGTTTGATTTTGCATGTCGTGTAAGGCCTGTATACTAGTTTGGTTTCTTTGTTGTAATAAGACACCAAACAAGCCGGGCAGTGATGGTCCACGCCTTTAATGCCAGCACTCAGGGGGCAGAGGCAGGAAGATCTCTGAGTTTGAGGCCAGCCTGGGCTACAAAGTGAGTTCTGGGACAGCCAGAGCTACACACACACACACACACACACACACACACACACACACACACACGACAGGGAACAAAAGCAACAGGGGGAAGGAAAGGGTTTATTTCGGCTTTCATTTCCAAGTAACTATTCATCACAGGGAAAAGTCGGCAGAGGAGCTGCAGGCAGTAACTGAAGTACAGACACGCTGCTCACCGGCTTGCTCTCCATGGCTTGCTCAGCCTGCTTTCATACACAATCCAAGGACCTCCTGCCATCGGGTGGTACTGCCAGCACTAGGCTGGGCCCTCCCACATC